CACACACACACACACACACACACACACACACACACACACACACACACTGTAAGCTAAAAAGAGGGAAGGGAAGGCTGGGGAAGAAGGTTTCCAGCACCAGGGAGCATATGGAGTAGACTCCTAGGAGTGTAGTTGGTGGGTCATGAAGCTCACTTTCAATGGAGGCTTTGGGAGGAGTCCTTTGCTCTGCCCTCTAGCCCTCCAGTTAGAGGGACAGAAGGTAATTAGGGTACTGTGAGTACCAAAGCTGATGCAATACCTCAGGATGATGAATTTCTCAATGAGGTTTCCTGACAACATGATCATGGTAGGGTCTAGTCCAAGGAGTGAAGCTACTAGTAAAAGTATAGATAATGATAGTAACTTGAATTTAGGCAGTTCGTATGTTTCTGTGTGTATGTGTTATACAACAAATACTAGTAATAAAACCAAGAATAGCATCCAAATACAACTCCATCTCTCTACCTCCAAACTTTTTTGGTGTGTTGATTTTAATGTGCAGTATTCAGCTCTGAGGTATGTGGGGTGTTCAGGGAGGACTAGTAGCTCTAGTGTGAGGGTTTGCCAAGCACTTATCATGACTGCTCATCCTCCTTTGTTGTCCACCTGTCACCCAACTCTCTCCTGTGGCAGACAAGCTAAACCAGGTTGAGGGTAACTGACCAGCCTCAAACCCATTGGTAATTTAGGGAGATGTCTACCCCAAGCATGTGAAAACTTATCCCAGTAGAATGGGCAGATGACAACAATTTGTTCCAACAGTCATAAGTTGGCTGAAGCAGGCACTGTGGAGCTTGGTCAGACATCAAAGATGCCAAGGTCATCCACTGCATCTCAGGCCATCACCAGTCATCCTGACTTTTGTCTTGTTGCTAGACTTCAATGACTCTAGAAAAAAGAATAAGGCTGGTGACTTAAATTCAGTTCACAAGCAAGTCAAAATATCACCCCATGATGCAATTTGTCCTCTTGAAAAACAAAGGAGAAAGAACAGCTCTGAAAAGTGGTGTAGCATAGTAGAGGGTCTAGGGAGTTAGGAAGACATGGGTTCAAGTCCTAACTCTGATACACCAGCTGTGAGACTCTGGGCAGATTACTTAAACATCTTAGTTCCCTAGGCAACTTTCTAGGACTCTTTAAGTTTCAGAGGAATTGCTGATCTACCTTAATCAATCAATCAACAAGTATGTATTAAGTGCTTACTGTAAGACAAAAGCTTCAAGAAGCTTACATTCTATTCAAGGAAACAATATGAACATACAAGGTAGTTTTGGGAAAGAGTATGCAAGTAAGGAGGGTGGCACTTGAGCTGAATTTCGAAGGAAACCCACTATTCCAAGAGGCAGGAGAAAATGGAGTACATTTCAGGCATGCAGGATAGCCAGTACAAAGGCCTGGAGGTGGGAGATGTAGTATCATGTATGCAGAACAACAGAAAAGCCAGTATAACTAGATGTCAGAGTGAAAAGAGGTAAGTCAAAAGACTGGAAAGCTAGAAAAGGATCATAGTATCAAGAGATTTAAATGTCAAACAGAGGAGCTTATATTTGATCTTAGAAGCAATAGGGAGCCATTAAAGTTTATTGAGGAGGGAGCACAACATAAAGACTTGTGCTTTAGCAGTATCTCTTTGGTAGCTGTAGAGGATGGATTGGAGTGGGGAGAGGCTTGAGGCACAGAAACCAAATGGAAGGTTATTGTGGGCAGTACTGGTAAGGGATTTTAAGGGTCTGAACACGGGTGGCGACTGCGTGAGTGAAAAGAAGACAACACATGAGAAATGCTGAAGAGAGGAGTAGAAAGAGTTTTTACGCCAGGAAATTCCCATGCTTAAGCTGTAAGTGTAGAGTCTAGACTCTCCCCACCCCCAACACATCGGCACTAAGATGTTGCAATGTTGTAATGATTATTGAAATTATTGAAATTCAACAGAATCCTTTGATCTATTGTACACTTCTAGGAATTCGTTATCAAGCATCTAAGTAATGGAATAAACTTTTAGCTTCTGGAACCATGAATAGAGAAATCTTTGCAGAAACGTCAGTTAGAGACTTTTCCAGCAAGAGCCAGGGCATTGAGTGCTTTCAAAGGAGGTTCAGCGCTTGGACACCAATTATCAACAAATCATTAAATAAGCAGGTGAGTTACTCAAGCTTAATTTTTACTGTAAAGTGTGGATCCACATTTTGCCAAATTAAAAAAAATCCCCTCTAAGATCTTTGATTCATAGATCTAAAGCTGGAAGGGAACTCAGAGGTCATTTAGTCCAATACCTTCATTTTACACTTGAGATGTTGAGGCCCAGAGAGATATTTAACTTGCCCAAGTTCCCACACGTAGTAAGCACCTGAATATTAGTTTGAATACTAATTCAAACTCAAGTTCTCTGATTCCAAATCCAGTGTTTTTTCCACTACATCACAAAGTTATAGACCTTAGAGCAATGATTTTCTTTAAGCAAAGATCCAATTGCCCTACATATGTCTATTTAGCAATATTTATTTATTCTGCATAGTTGGCTAATGCCATGTTACACTGGGAATATTTAGCTTAGAAATTGAAATGTATAAAATATTTCATTTCATTTTCTTACAGCTCTTTCAGGAAAGAGTTAGTCTTATAACTCATTGGTTTGATCTGTGGACTGACAAGCAACGTAAAGAATTTCTACTTAGAATATTGCAAAATTGCAGTCACTCACAACTAAAGTAAGTTTTACTAGGACATGCTTATTATCTTTTAAAGAAAGTAAAATATGGTAAGATGTTTATTTGAACTTAACAAAATGTATTTCTCTTTTCTTAAAAATAAAAAAAAAAACAAAGTAACCAACTTTGTAAACTATCTTTATGCAGAATCTTTCAGTACACAACAAGGAACATTAACTCCCTCAGGCAGCAGAGATACACAGTTTAGAACTGGAAAGGGACCTTAGATATGGTGTAATACAATTCCTTCCTTTTACAGATAAGGCAACTGAAGCCCATTGAGGGAAAGTGACTTCTGCAAAATGACACAGGGATTATCAGAGTAAGGATTTGAATCCAGGTGCTCTTTTTATGATACTATGCTGTCTTAATTCAGTGCAGTAGGAATTTGCAAAAGCCCTCAGTAATTTTCTCCCATTATGCAACTGTGCTCCCTAGAACTATCAAGCCAATGTTGTATTTATCATAATTAAGGCAAAACAGACAGCACATGAAATGCCTATGAAATAATGCCAACACCAGCATCTCTTATTAAAAGTATGACATATAGCTACCATTATTTGAAAACACCCCCTTTTTCTTGACTCTTCTTCCCTGGTCTCTCCCTTTCCACCTCTTCCCCTTCTCTTTTTTTGTTGCTCACCATTCTGTACTCTTTCCCACCTGGCCCACTCTTCTCACAATCTATCTACTTTCTCTTTAATTCACTTACATTTCAAATCAATTCCTTCTCTTCCCTGTTCACCCACTTTACCTCCCAATATTTCCGTGCATAATTCTGGGCACTCATATGCATTTGATGCTCATTTATTGAGTGACTGATTACAGACAGACACCTGCTTGTCCATCTTCAAAGAGGCTGCTAAAGAGCAAGAAAAATATCCAAATCACTGAATTTTTTAAACATATATTTTATGATAAATCCTGGTTGTAATTTGTTTCCCTTCATTTCCTCTTTCCAGCCCTTGAGTTAACAAATCCAGGTATTTTGTAATGTGCTATAATTTTATCCCATATCACAAATCAAGCAATTTTAGCTGTAACCACTTGAGGTCATTAGAGATCTTGTGGCATTTTTCAAGGAATAGCAATATTAGACCTGAAATTCTATCTTCAGGGAAACCTACATCATTTCTGTGGCATTTAGATTTTTCCTTTTGTAGGATAAGAATGACATCAATTTTGTAATTAGCCCATTTGAAAGGAAGAAAGTGCAAAGTACTGTGCTAATAACTAGGAATAGAAATAGAAAAGAAAGAAAATCTCTGTTTTTAAGGAGCTCACATTCTTAAAAGGGTATTTAGCTTCAAGTCAGATGGGAAAGGCCAATGACTCTTATGGGTCAGTGGCAAATCAGATGGTAATGCATCCTCTTTAGTGTTATTTCCCTTGATAAAACCATGTCTGCTGAACCATCGAATGGAGCCAAGGATTTGGTGGTAAGAGCTTTCTTTCCTGTAGCTATGGCTCATGAGGAGGTAGGGATTGTAGCCCTTGGAGAGGCAGTTGCCAGGTCTCATATCCACAGTGGTTGCTTCTCTAAATGATGACTTCATGGCTGATGATGTCTGTGGCTGGAAGCTAGGCTGATTGTCTGAGAAGCATTGTTATTCTTGGGTTCTTGGAGTCAACAGTTGATGATAGGGGTAGTAGGGATGGTAGAATGATGCTCCACAAGGATTGTTCACCTTTCTGATGACTATAGATGTTGGACTAGAAGCAGGGCCCATGGTCTAGGCTGTAACTGCTATACTCAGGGCTCTAGGGTATGTGGTTCTACCCTACTGCCATTGAGGCCAAAGGGCAGGTGGTGGTCAAGGTGATTAGCAGTGGTTTGACTCACTTGTCACATGCAATCCCCCATCTCTCCCTCAGCATGCCCTGCTTCTTCAGCTGGGTTGATTTCCTGCCTTGTTGGTGACATTTGGTACTGGGGGAGGAGAGGGATGGCAAGCCCTTTTCTACAAACATTGTTGTCCTCCCTTGGACCATGGCTTTGGGACTGAGCTGAAAACAGGACCAGTGATCTTGGTTTACAGTGTTTACAATGCTCTGCCCTATGTAGTAGTAGTTGTTGTATTTCCTCATGGAAGTATATACCCTTCAAAATTCAGTGAAATGTTTACTAAATATTCTAGGTCAGATGTTGCCCTCAAAAACTGAGGTGTGTGTTGATATTAGTGAAAATTATGTGTAAACATTTGATGGCAAAATTTGGCTTGCTTGGCCCATTTTAAGTCACACGAGGCTAAAACATTTTACTATATTACTTTAGGTAAACACTAGAACAATTCACACTAAGATTTTCAGGGATTGCTCACTGTACCAGTTCCTACTCACACTATTAAGTCTGGGTATCCAAAGTGTAACAGCTACTTCAAGTTATAGGGTCAACCCTGTGGATGGCTACCCCTAATACTGTAGCTCACAAGCCCCCACCAATGTGTTTCCCATTCATTATCAGCCAGTAGACTCAGATCTTAGAAGATATTTCCTCGAGTGGCACAGCAGGAATTGTAGTTACAAAGAACTCACTCCCTTCATCTAGACTTGGGATATCCTTTCCCACTAAAATACATAGACTCCAGAGGCTGGAGGAGGAGGAGAAAGAGTGGCCATGAACTTAAAATATCCTAATAGTGAGGTACATAAGTAGGGACGCTGATAGAGCAGGACTTCTTTGTTCTTTCTTTTCCTGGGGCATCCTCATGCACTTCACTGTGGGACAGGTGTCCCTGTCAATGGACAAGTCTCTCTGTTGTTCACTTTCCTTGCAGGGCACAGTGTCTCTACTGGACAGTCTGATTCTCTGTTGGGCTGAATCCTCACAGGTAGCAAACAGTACCAGGGCAATATTAGTTGATCTGAGGGACTCTTTGATAGGCAGGTGCAGCCTCTACTAGCTTCACCTCCAGCTCGGCTCTGTATGACTGGGCTCTTTCAGCTGGTATGCTACTATGACTTTTCAGAAAGGACAGAGACACTTAGCCTAGAATTGGCAGAAGTCTTTCCAGTCCTGTTCCTTCAGGTCCTTTGATCCGAGTTTTATCATTTCCCAGGAAGGGAAGGGGAGAGGTGTTACTTCTTTCAGAGGGTTCTGCCTGGTCCAGAGCTAGGGACCTCATCTAGTTAGATTTCCCAGATTCCTGTTGGGATCCTATGCAAAATGAATGGCTTTAGAGAATGAATCCGTCTTTCCCTTGGGGTCTACTGGAGTTCAATGTCTGTCTTGGCCTTTTCATATTCAGCTGAGTCACCTTGAACCTCAATTCCTTTAAAAAACATAGAATGCTTAATTTACACCTGAAAGGGCCTCCCCCAAACATTTCACCTGTCTTTGCCTCTCATAAGCTTTAACTTTGCTGAAGTCTAAAAGAGGCACACCCATATGTCCAGAGGCCCTGAGCTCTCCTTGTGCCAGCAGGCTGTGTGATATCATGGAAGCAGGGGCTGGATTTGATGTTGGAGGAGCTGTGTTCAGATCCCAGATCTGCTACTTACTCACCTGTGTGACCTTTAGCAAGACCTTTAACCTTGTTGGGCCTCATCTAAGAAATGAATGCTGGACTTTATGGTCTCTTAGGATCCTTGCAACTGTAAATCTATGATCCTATGGTTGAATTTTGATTAACTAGCAGAAGGAGAAAAAAGGATATGAAACTCAAAGTAAAATTTTCCACTTGTTAGTAGTTCTAGTAGGAGATTTGTTCAAAGAGGAGGTTAAAACCAGGGGTGAACTCCAGCCAGCTCCTACCTGAGGAATGCCATTTGTTAAATTTTCATTGTATTTACACCTTAGAAACTAGCAAATGCTTTAAATGGGGCTTGATTTATTGTTTTATTGATTGTTTAGACTTAATAAAGTGTTGGACAAAATGTTAATAATGCAAATTAAACGTAAAAATGTGTCCTGCATACAGGACCATTTGTTAGACATTAAACAGCACATCCCTGGTTAAAACTATTGGGGAAAATGAGCTTTAGAATTTCTTATATAATCCATGCAGACACTGTCCCCATGAGCAAAAATCACCATCTATGTAAATAATAGGAAAAAAGTCTTATTTGAAGGACTTATTTTATAAGTTACAATGTAAATAAACCAGGCTGCATTCTTATTACACACACAGAAATGTTCCATTATCCAATATGATCATGATTATGATTATTATTTTGCTTATGACACACAAAATTGAAAGTACAGATAATTGCTGTAGGGAAGATCACTGAGCAAGTTATTGTAGTATGAGAAACATTCTTCCTCATGAAGCTTTAGGAACTAGATCTTTGAAAAGTATTTTAAAAAGGGTTTTACTACTGTTTCCACTAGGTCAATTAACATGAAAAAAATATACTGATGATGTGTGTACCAAAGGCATGTCAAAATTGGTTTCTTTCTGATTTCCACTAAGAAGCCAATTCCCAAACTGTCAAGTTCAGTACTACTCCTGTTCTGTGGCTCTTAAGACTGGTGCAGCAGCAGAAAGTTAGGAGGTTTTGGTCTGTCACACATGGAAGAACTTGTGCAAACTGGGTTCTCTGAGTCAGCCTTCTTACTGAACTCGCAGAACGAGTTCTCATAAACTGTCAGGTAGTGGCATGGTTCCTGACTATTCGTTATGCAAAGTTCTCTTTTTTAAAGGCTAGTTATTTTCAAACAGGCAAGCTCTTGTATCCCTTAAGTGGGTGGGGGAACTTCAATATAACAATATTCCCTTCAGCAGATTTTGGGTAGGGTATTAACAGCATACCTTATTTAATAAATTCATTTCAACAATGGAGTGTAAGATCTGATTCTTTTTACGCCTGCTATGGCATCAGGTAGGAGGTGGCAAGACATAAGAAATGGGGTAAAGGCACAGAGGACAACTTTGCATAGAGAATCAGAGCCAACATTAAGGGCTGTGGGACCTTTGGCCAACTATACACTCTTATTAGGATAAAGAAGTTCAAAACATTTAAATAAAAGTGATTTCAATCAGATTACTATGAAATTGCCC